AACTTACCAATGTAACCTTTACCGCTTTCAGCATACGTTCGAGGCAAGTGAGAATAATAATATAATAAAGCAATTACAAAAAAAGATTTTGTTAACTCTGCCATTTTATTATCATGTGTACGCGCTTTAAAATTTAATTTCAAATTTACTTGAAGGGCGGTTTTTGTCTTTTCGAAATTGCTTAAGAAAGAAATCAATAAAAAATTATATCTCTTTGCCTATATGAATAAGTTATAATATTATATAAAAAGGTGCCCTCGCACCTCACTATAATAAACAACATATCGTTATGTAATTGCAAACAAACAAAACAAATAACATTTGCTTAATTTTTGAAATCAATTTCTGAGCGTTAACCCAAGTGATTTGCTTATGTATGAACAGATGTGTTGGGATTTAAATAGCATCGCGGCAATGGCCATACAACGGGCTCTATATATGTGTGATATGGTATGATGCGCTTGCAAAAACTGTAAACAACAACAACTATGGTAATGCCAGCGCTGGGGTCCATCTTTCGGTGTAGCAGCCCTCTCTGATGCATGTTAGCAATAACCAATCCAAAGTTCTATGATATATAACTGATTTATAACTGTTGTTTGCGCAATATTTACTGAAAACCGTCCATCTGCCAAAAAAATGAATATTAAGTTTTCGATATTGAAGTATATTTCCTTCGAAAAGAACGCTTGTCCTCAAAATTTCATATTTACTGTGATACCTTTATAAGGCTCAGAATCTCACATATGTTAATGCTGCGGTCGATTTTCCTCACATTGGGCAAATTTGCGAAAGTTGTGGTGCAGATGAAAATTCTTAAGATATGTTCTTTGAATCTGCCCAATAAGAATCTAAGTAAGGATTGCGTACGGTGTTAACTAGGTTTCCTTTTTGGAGTTTTTCTACCTTTTTAGCTATAGATATGCCCAAGAGAGGCGAGAACCGCTCTCCCAAAATCGTCAATATTGATTCGTGTTGGCGCATTAATGCCAACGCAAAAGTATGGTTCTGTAGAAAATTTGGTATTTTGGGTGCTAAGTAAGCTTTTGTTCGTGTGTGGTTGATTGAAATACCCCCGTTATTTATTGAAGTCATTGAATGCGTCGACGAAACCCTTTCGTCATTTATATTTTCATAAGCCCGCACGAAAAGAAGACCGTTTCATAAATCGGAAAGACAAGCATAGCTTGAATGGAATGCTGGTGAGTTGACCGACATACATAAATGTTTATGCGAACACACATTTAAAGTTTTTATTTGTAAGGTTCGCCACCACGACATGAAAATTATAATAATAAACTCTAGATTTCCTGGATCAAGCCGCGACTTGCATTTGTGGGGAGACAGCCCATTTAAGCAGCTTATCTGGAATGGAAATCAAAGTAATGGTTGCCTCCTTGGTAAGCAATGATGATAATGTTGTATAGTTTGACATTTTCGACCCTAAACAGCATTTGTATGACTACTATCCAATGAGCTGGAAATGATCTTCTTAAGAGCGTATATTTGAAAAGAATGGAACGAGCTATTTTTAAACAACTCAAACAGTTATCTATCGCCAAGCGTTAATTCTTCGGCCTCTTAGACCGAATACGAATTGCGCGCACAACGCTTAACTGGTCTTTTAAGGCAGTCTATCTAAGGCATTCATTTTTTTGATTATCGCCGAACGGAGACTAAGTCACCGATTGTTTACTAGTGTTAAGCAGAAAGATTAATGTCGGCTCACAACCGCACAGAGTTGTGCTATGAACGTTTTCTTGACAAGTAAGGCCGAATTTCGCGGTGCTGAAAACTCGCGATATGATATGTTCATCACGCGTAACCATTCAGCAGCACTGTCCTTCGCATTAAGCCGAAAAAGTCACGCGTCTGGCATATGGCGTTTTATTGGCATGAAGCTCGGATCTATTCACTGGCCGTACAAAGTATGCTTCGTACAATTTCCGGGATAACCTAGTGTATTGTGTAAGTCTTAACGATAGTACGTTCAGATGGAAATAGTCGCGAGCTTTCTTACTATCTTATGGTATAATTTTTGATAACATTTTTTATACGCATCACTGAAGGATGGGGGTGTACTCACTTTGTTTTAGTAACACCCAAAAGGAAGCTTCGGAGAGAAACTCTATAAAGTATGTATGTTCTTGATCAACGTGAAATTCAAGCGATATGGGTATCAAGTAAAAAACTATAAAAAGAAGAAGAAGAATGCGAAAAGCATAATAAATGGTCGATATGGTAGAATGCAACTTTCCTACTTGTTTTCTAATAACATACGTGGACAAATGTCGAAATATTTAATTTTGAATATTATGCTAAAAAACAAAAAAATTCGATGAGTCGTATTATCCGCTCTGGCAGTGCTAACTAAACAATTTCATATCGACTTTGTGAACGGAATGAGATTTTTATCGTTCAATTCATGGCAAAATAGCAAACAGGAAGCGAGTATTTGTGAATATACAAGCGATACCATTTATCATCGTTCAGGCGACACATTTGAGAGGAAAGTTTCGTTGTCTTCTCCTCTTAAGTAAATACATCTGATTACTCAATTTTTTCCTTGAAACTTCTCCTTAATTATTTGTGTAGGATAAGATCAAATTTTAAGTTTAACGTTTAACTCTCTTCCCCACTTACTGTGATCTTCGTAAAGACCTTATCGTTCTATCAAAGATTTCTAAATTTAAGGCGAAAGTACGACAAATAGAGAATGTTTGCTAAATATTCTATCAATCAACTATCAGATTATTCTCTCCATCTTCAGCTAATCATTTCCCGATTACATTCAATTTGTTATAATTTACGCATCATAGAGAGCAAAAATGATTTTTAATTTTCGATCTCGTAGAACTTGTTAAATGCTTGCTATACAAGCGATATTTTTAATTTGTCATTAAAAATGTCAACAATCGATTATATCCTGCTGTTTAATAATTGCTTTCAATTAATTCAATTAGTATTACGGTACATTTGTTTTTTATTATTATTATTATCATTATTAATTTTTCTTCTCAATTATTATTTATTTTTTTTTTATGCCTTTGGTTTACGCTTTGATTTTTTGCCTACATTTGTGTTTATTAGTAATTTTGACGAGAAAATTAGCTGTCGCCGTTGTTGAAAATTTAAGTAAAACTAAACTAAAAATCTCATTTGTACAGTTTCGTGAATTCATTATATATATTTATATATATATATATATATATAATATATATATATTTATATCAATGATTAAATATTTTATGACTAGAATCTCATTATAGCTTAAATAACTTGGGTTTTTGCCGGATTTTTGTGTTGTTTCTCCATATCATGTTTTCCCTTTTTTGTTTTTTAATTTCTTTATACCGGTTGATATCGTCGCAATTGTTATTGCATACGTTTTTTTTTTGTTTTTATATGTAGAATATATGAATCAGTTTGTGCTTTTTCTCAAGTTTAAGCAGCAACGAAATTATAAACATAAAACAAGTAAGAAAATTATATTCAGTTATGACCGAATCTTTTATACCCATCATCGCGATCCTAAAAAGCAAGTGAAAGAATTCTCATATTGATCATACTGTATAAGATTTGGGTGGGCATAGATAATTTTTTCTATTTTTCGTATAAATATATATGTGTGGTGTTTGTATGATGCACTTTATGAGTAACAAATAAAAAACACAAAAAACAAAGGTGTTCACAGATATTGTTATATATAGATGTGTGGGCGCTATGGGTTAAGTTCTTTGAAAAGTTTAAATCATTTTCAAATTCTTTGATTGCTGGTTTGTAGGAGATCTCTTTGTTTTTGCGAACGGGAGAACATTTACCATAAATACTGCACGGTTGTGCAGAAGGACAGATGGACAGGCGAACATGTTTAGGTGTTTTCCCATCTTGAAACTGGCCAAGAATTTATATAATATATGGGGTTTTTGAGGTTTCCTTCTCCGCGCTATAAAAGGTTTGAATAAACAAGGAAATTATGACACTTTATAAAATCGAGAAGAGATGGCCGATTATTTTCCACCTTTATAAGGGCACTGCAACATTGGTCAAAGGATAGACGGTCAAATTTTTGTACATTTATCTGCTACAGTTTATGAGTTATGGAGCCAAAAAACAATTTTTTATTCCTTTTGAAGAATACGTACGTACGTACACGTACTACTGTAGGCGGGCCCTTCGACCGATTTGGCCCATTTTCAATGACAACCTGCGTTCAAGAACATTCAATTTTCATTTCGATAGCTTCACTGTTGCGATCAGGAGAATGTTAACAAAAAAAATTTCGCAGACGAACAGATAGCCAAGGGACAGACGTACATACTTAAATCGATTCAGAATTCGATGCTAAACAAGAATATATACACTTTTTTGGCGTTTGTGCAGCTTGCTTTTAGGCGTTGCAAACCTTTTGACAAAATTAAAATACCCCTCATCTTTCAGTAATGTATATAACAAGTACATGCATTATAATTAAGCGATCATTAAATACCTTATAGTCGTTCGTCTTTCCTTTTTTGCGTTCCTGTTCATCATAATACAACAAAAAGTATACATTGTTCCTATACAAAGGTATACATACTTCTCATGAAGACCATTTTATGGGACGGGGTCCCATAACATGCACTGACGTGACCCAAATGTAACAAATTTAATTTTCTTCGTTAAGGTTTTTATGATAGGTTTTTATTTTTTTCATATTAAGTTAGTGCGGTCGTGCGTAACGCGTACTTTTATTAAGGGGATGAACGAACCCCTCTTTTTGAGCAGAATCCATTTGCTCAGAATCATTATCGTTTGCTTGCAACGGTAGCCAATAGTTTCGTTTCCTAGTAGATGGAGCTTTACTTTTTAGAACAAGCTCTTATGTTTGCAATAGTTATGAACACCAAAGCGCAGCAGCAAAGCTCACTATAAAATATTGTCTTAATTTCGTTGAAGTAAACATGAGAACATGAACTTTGTTAAATGACCGACTAACTTAAAGGTAAATGAATTTTTGCATAAAATATGCTACTGTCGGAAATAAGCCAACGTAGAAAAATAGGTTAGCTATGTGCGCGAAGGCATAGCTGCCGCCAACAAATCTAACTCAAGAGGCCACCAGCTCGCTGAAGTGTGTAGGGATGTAGTTGGGAGTTGATTCCTGCGTTAGCTGCGTTCAGGTTGTCCATAAATTAGTTGCTCCGAATGCGATTCCTCTAATAGTCAACAACTCACAAAGGCAGTCACAAAGAGTGTTCTGTTTTTTTGCAAGACTTTTGTCAACAATTGTAGATTGAAGAAGAAAAGACTTATTATGAATCCATGCAGAAGCAGCAAATTTCGGCGCTCGGTCAGTTTACTCATTTCGCAATACACCGATAAGAGTAGACACCCAAAGCATTTCAATTGCACGCGACGTGAATGCTGACGAGATGGGGTCGATTAATTCTGCCCAAAAAGAAGCAGTTCAAGCCCCCAGTAAAATTTTTACGTTACAAAACTATTTTTATAAATTATATAAAAAATTTGTATTTAAATTAGATTTTATTTAAGCGAACTAAAAAGGAAAAAATATATATGATGTCTACCATTTCTATGTGACTATATGTAAAAGCTTGGTGCGCTTAAAAAATCAAATGTGTTAAGAGTCGGCGTTTTTAAATAAAATAAAACGTTAAATATTATATATATGTAAGCTACGAGAGAAGAAATCAATTAGGTGAGGGAGTCGCAATATTAATCGAGAGATAAAGTTAACGATCCATAAAATTCCGTCAATTAAAATTGATATAATTGAAAACATGCTAATGGAAGACCGATACGATTCGTTAACGTGTCCTCTCTTCATGGAAGTTGCTTAGATGACCCTAAGGCGACTTACAAAAAATTATGGACAAAATGGGTATTTGGGGTCTATGTGACGATTCAAATATCAAACATCAATATTTGTGGTGCACTAGATCAAATTCTTGCGGTTATACTTTGAATGAAATCAAACAGTAATGTTCCGACTTCCATTCCACCTACTCGAAGAACTGTACAATTTTTTTTCGGATTGGTGGCCAAGTAGTATCCTAATTATTACCAGCGATTTGCAAGATTACAGGAAAGAATAGCGTTTTGCTTCTCAGAAAAGCCGAATGCTTTTATGTGGGTAGAGAAAAATCATTAAAAGAAAGCTTCCAAACTAATAAGTCTCAATATTAAAGAAATCCCAGCAACCCTGACTGTAGTAGAAGTATACAAATCCCTTAAACCTTACAAGTGTTCAATTAATAAAAACAATATTAAATGAAGATGCATTTAAATTCTCGTAATAAACATTAGCAATAAAGCGCCAAAGAGCGTGACTGCGAGTATGAGCAGAAAAGAAAGGCAGCCTACGATACAAATGAAATATCAAGCACAGTCGCTGTAGCCGGGTGTATACAGAAAAGGACCCGAAATTAAACGAAAAACGCAATACAATAAGATCATTATAAACAAGAAGAAGAAGAAGAACAACAACAATAGCAACGACAGCAAAAACACAATTACTATCACTACATTTATATATTCTATAACGTTTATCAGGTAAATTTTGTGCGTGGACTACAATAAAGCTAATTGGAGTTATCGATGCTTTCCTTTATGACTGCTTCGATACCTAACAAAACTATGGCAACTCTATATCCACAACCGACAATGTATCGAGGAGGCGGTCGAATTAATTTATTTACTACGAATATAGTAAACGGTACATAACGTTCAGTGCCCAAAATTTCCCCGGTCTTTCAATCTGCACTGACTGGAAGAGAGTGGAGTCGCCACCGACTGCAAGTGGAAAATCTAAACATTTTTCTAACGCGTCATTATTCGGGAGGAAAATTTTCAAGTTCAGAAATGCATTATTTGATCGTAAAGTAATTGTGCTTTGGATGAGCCCAGGACGCCATTTTGGAATTCGCTCTCGACTCTTCTCTATTCGAAATTAAAACAATCTGAAGCTTTTGGTCTGAATTATATAACTGCAATGACCTTTTGAATGCTTTCTCTGATGGTGAACGTCTACGTTTGCAAGTGTTCTGCAAAGATCTGCTCTTGGTCAAATTTATTTTTCGATTTTCGAATCGGAGTTTTCAAAAAATTTTGTGACCAACTGACGTTGCTGTATACACCGATATTATCTGTACTTACTGATCTGTCTAATAAACAATTGTTCACGTCTCATCTGGTTTGGAATTTCAAAGTTTCGTAAATTTTTTCTCCGCTTGTATTAAGCTTGTATTGATAGTTTTCCTAACCTAAAACAGTTATCTTCCGCAATCACGTTTAACATATCAAAATGCTTTATATTCATCAGTAAACTAAAATTTTAAATTATCGCCTATGATATCAATGAGATTCTTTTATCGCGAGTATCGTTTTTTAATCAAGTTGCACCACTGTCCACTCTAATCGACTTTAAAATTTGCAAATATGTGTAGAAAAAATGTTTGAAAATGATAGTAAATTTGATGCCCTAAATACTATGTTAACCTGAAAAATTGGATAAAATAACAAAGATGATAAAAGTTAAAAATTTTCAAAAAAATTCCGATTTTGCCGGGTCATGCTGACTTTAATTTCAATTGGAAGTTTTCATTTGTTTTCAGTTTTCCTTCGATATGCCCGTCATAGACCTCTCAGTGACTCTCAGTTGCTTCTTGAATTTATAATCTTATGATATATTATAGAGTTTAAGCAATTGTGTGATATTCTATTTCTATGCGTCGCTTTCCACAATACACGTTAAACTTCAATCTAATGTAAGACAAATTACAGTCGACTGGATGAAGAGAGAAAAACTTTTCAAAATATTATTAGGCTTCGAGGGATCTAATGCCTGCTTACCTATGAGATGATGTGATGATAATATAATCTATGAGATGTACGCAAATAGTGCGTGAAAATGGATTGAAAAGGGCCCGGCCCGGGGAATATATATTGCCTACGTGCAATGATAATCTCGAAACGGGACCAAAAAATCAAAGTTCATTCGTCAACTAATGCAATCTTTTGTCCTGTGGAGGATCTGATGAACACAATTCACTTCCATTCCGCAATTGTTTCAACAAAAAGAGATCAAAACTTCTCAAATTCTTACTAATCAAACCCTATCAAAACAAGAGAGACATGAAACGAACAAAAAATAAAAAAATCGCGATCTCAAGGTCACGTATAATGTATTATGGCAGACTCTTTTCGCAAGTTATAAAATTTTGCTACAGGTTAAAATTAAAATTTTAATTACAACCCACCAAAAAAATTAAATAATTATGAAAACGAAAAAAAGCAAGTTGTTCGCTAAATACTGTAATTTATCCACACCTATTAGTCGCCATGTCATGCAATTTTCAAGGTACAAATGCATAAATACGCCTGCAATCAATTTCGAACAATTTATTATAAAAATCGAATACGTTAAATTTTAACATTCATATTTGAACAGTGGCAATAGTCTAAAAGTAAAAGTGAAATGTTAACTGCGTTAAAATGCTTCAATTATTTAATAATCGGCTTAACAGGCATCCTAACCACAAACGCTGTATGTGCGTCGATAATGAAAATAGCAAAAAAAAAAAAAAAAAAAAAAAAAGGGCGAAAGAAAATTAATTTCACTTAATAAACATAAACAATCTAATCCTTATTCTTCTCATGTTGTTCGATGAATAATTCATTTTTAATACATTTTAAATAGAACGTAATTTCTCTGGCATATACAAAATAATCAATTTCAAATAATTCGTGTTTATAGATAACACGGCAACAATTTGAACAATCATTAGTAATGATGCGTAATGGATGCGCTCCTAAATTTAAGCTAACAACCGAGCAACTTGATGGCCTACGTGTCGGTAATTTCGATGCCAACAATAAGGATTTAAAGGCATGTCTCATCATCGTCTATATAAGTTTATAAGTATTTCATTTCGTTGAATATAATTTGGAAAAAAAAAAAAGAAAAGGGTCAAAATTCATGGGGTAACATAACCTTCTATGCTAAAGATCGGTAGAAATAAAAACTCTATAATTGGGACACGACTGACTGACTCGTCATTGAATATTTATGTAACGATTTTTCAAAATAAGATGTTACATAGAAAGTGGTCGAATATCGATGCCGTCCGATACGAATCATTTTCACTAGAGTTCGTTCTTGGGCCAAAATATGTCGGTATATCAAATTTCATCAAAATATCTCGAAAATAGCGAACCGTAGATGTAGGGCAAGACAATAAGACGGACAGACAAGCTTGGATCAATTCAACAGTCGACTCTGAACACAATTGTCATAGTAGAAGTTACATCTATCTCAAGTCCTTTTAGTTGTTGCACACATCCGCACTAGCTTAATATATCCTTGTACCATAAATGGCGTAGGGCATAAAAAAAGAAAATTGAAAAGATTTATTATTAATATTTAGACTCTTGCATATGTGTTAGTACAAAAAACAGGGTTTTTAGGCATAGATTTAGAAATATGTCTTCTTTTTTTTTTTGGCTTTGATCGATCTTCACGTATTATCCCGCGCTATACTTGTCTACGTAGAATCTAAAATATAAACCAGAAATATTGTTGAAATATGACTCAAAATCCAGTGAGCATCTCCCATACCAATCAGATATATTTTGAATATTTAGAGAAAAACGCTTCGATTGTGAAGAAATTTTGATCTTACCTCTGAAATACGATCATTTTACTGTATCACTGTACTGTACCGCTGTAATATTGTATATACAAATTTTTTTTTTGATCTCCATTTGCGTTTTAGATTAGCCAAGTTATTCAGTGCATAGCCAAGATGACTATAATGTGACTGAACTTCTTGCTCCATAATCATCTTTTTATATCATTCTTGAAATAAAAAAACTAAAAACAACACAAAATAAAAAAAATCACAAAGTTATGCTGAAAGAAGTTCAAGTCGTACGTTATATCCACAGACAGATGCTGTGATATATATGCAAATCCGAGCACTTTTTTGAACAACTTTATAACATATATATATTCATAACATAAATATGGCGCTTAATCGAGTTAAGCATCTTCATCTGTCCATCCGTCTGCGTAATGTCTACGATAAACATTCCCGTGCTTCAAATTTAGCAAAAACATTGAAACATTGCTTGCATGCGGATAGGTATTGAGGATGGAGCAAAGCGCCCAAACGGCCAATAGGTCATCTGCAATGCAACATAAACTAAGAGCAATTGCCCTTTCTGGATATGTTACGCTTGTTGGTCATGTTCAAAATTTCCGGAAGAAATCAGACACGTCCGATAGCGAATTTTTAGTTTTCTTCTCTTTTTCTTCACTCTTAGCTTTTTAAAATGCAAATCGGTCGGTACAAAAGATTCGGTCGCAGCCGAATATAATTTTCTTGCTTGTTTTCTCTTATGTATATTCATTTTTCTTTTTTACTTGCTCAAATATATTTTAGTGTTACACGAAATGCATAGCCCAACTGGCGGGAACGGTAAGTTTACCTTTCACGTTTCATTTAGACATGACATATCATCTTTTAGCACAATACACAATAGTGAAATATTTTTTCAAAAAAAAATGTAAAAAAAGTTGATTCGACAACTATAGACAGACACTAAAATCATTCACTTTTTACGTGTCCACGCGATGCTTTGCTTGTTAAATAAGTAATTCTTGGATGCATGTATATACATACAATGAGGCTTTCGTTTAATACCGTAGATAATACATGATCATATATTTTTTCTTAGTTAACGAAAAAAGGAGAGCTTAGCGCACAAAAGGCTCTTGCACAAATACCAATGATTTTGCCTACCGAAATGCAGGAGGTAGCCATTGCATCTTTAGAGCACTGCAAAGATGTTCGTAAGTATCAGCGATCGCTAACAAATAACTGTAAACACTTTTTTTAAGGGAGAGTAAAAAACAAGGAAAACAATTATATTCGACTTCAATTGAAGTTTTTAATAATTGATTGGGCAACGGAAGGATCTGGCATTCGCCCAATTACAGACTATATCATATATAAATTGGTAGCCTTGGCCTTACCTATATTTAAACTTACGCTAAGTACGCGCATGCGTGAATTTTTAACCTCACTTAACGGCGATATACGAACTCGACAACAGGATTACATTAGAAAATGGTGTAAGATCGAGGAAGAGCGTAAAGCTCCAAGTTATAAGCACCAAAAATATTGATATCAAATTCCTCGGCGAAATATGAAGATATATTAATTATGTCGGATCATTTGCAATCCGAAGCCAAAATGAAGCTTCATATACATTCTTGATCGGCATCAAGTTCTCAATCGATTTAAATATGTCCATCGGTCCGTCAGTGCTAAGCTTTCTACTGTCCCCTAAAATGAAAATATCATTTTCAAATTTTACAAAAACATTGCTATTAAAAATTCAGTCAAATCGATCAAGGGAGCCGCCCACAATGCAATGTAAGCTGAGAACATCTCTGCTTTCTCAGTTGTCTTGCGCATTACTCATAAAGTACAAAAAAGGTGATAATAGGCAAAGCCGAGTTTGTTGGTTTCCGGCATATACTGAATGATAAATCGGGATTTCAATAGCAAACAAACACATATTTCGCCATTCGCGCTGATCAGGAATGTATAAATACTATAGAGTATCCTATGCAAGTCTAATTACCTTCATAACTCTGCTTAACTTATAATAGACCATCCAGTTAATATCTCTACGCCTTAGTGAATGCAATTGAAAAAAATATTCAATTTCGGGGATTTATTGATTAAGAAACGAGCAAGACAAGCATGCAACCTTTTATCTAAATCGTATACATATATATATACATGTATTTTTTTCTTTTGCAATGAAGCTATCAAACGTCATTGCTAAGAGATAGATTCCGATAATAATACAAAAGTAATACAAAAGTTAATCGTCATTATTACGTAAAAAAAATTATGCAAATTGCTTTACGAGTTAGATGAACTTTTAAGACGATTGCAAGATATCTGTGATCCACTAACGAATTATCGAAATTTATCGTTAATTAATTATCATTGGTTGTCTGTTACGTTTTAAAATGTTCCGTTGACAAGAAAGAAATCGGTTCTTCGGTGAACTTTTTTTTTTAAAGGAATATCTCTTTCTTATCAATTTTGTAAAAATTAAATAAATTACTGATGTCACTGCCAGTTTTACTCATCTTATACTTGCAGAAAAGAATTATAAAGACCCTTGTGATCGTATGTTCTTCATAACCAAGTGTGTTTATGAGTTTGCGCCAGATGATTTCACATTTCCATAAACATTAAAGAGATGAGAAGAGAAATCGTACCAACAATGAGATCCGAATGCACTTAATATAAATATAATTGAGAATTATTGTAATTATTAAATAATAAAATAAATAAATAAAAATTTCTCTTTATATATTTATATGAAAACGAAACCAAAGAAAAAAAACAAGTACGAAAGTTAAATTGGGTCGGGACTGAGTCCTTTATATCATCATCGTCGTCATCCTAAAAGAGACAAAAGAAGCAAAAGAAGAAAATTTTCATGCTTTATAACATGGAGTGGGCGCCGTTGATTTCTTCTATTTGCAAAATAAAAGTTTCCGTCGTCTAAATATGTAGGCGTTGTAGGCATGTCGTTTGAAAAGTTGAAATCACTTCCAAATTCCTCTGCAAATTTGCTAACGATAGAATCTTTACCACAGATACTACACAATTGGGCAGACGGACAGATGGACACAGGCACACTCCAAATTTGAAATTGGCCAAGAATTTATATACTTTATGGGGTTTTCGACGCGTCTTTCTCCGCGTTATAAAGGTATTGGGAAAACAATTAAATTTTGATACACTATTATATTGGGTAGGTGTGATCAATATTTTCTATTTTTGTACACAGATGCTAAGGCACGCCCATAAAATACGCATTCAAATTTTTGTACATTTATTTCCTAAAGCTTGAGTAAAAAACTAATTTTTCTCTCATTTTATATGGCGCTGTCTGGGCATGTAATTCGACCGATTCGGCTCATTTTCAATACCCATCTTGCTTGCAAGAACTTCCCATGTTTCTGCCAAATAGCTTCACATTTGCGAGCACCCAAATGTTTACAACGGACATTACCCAGCATATTATAGAGCATGAGAACTTTGTTCTTATGTAGGGTATAAAAGATTCAATCTCGACCGAATTTAATTTTCTTCCCAATTGCATATTAAAGTAGATTATCAATATAATTTTCCTTCGTCATTATTCTTTGGTTTCATTTGTTGTCATCGTTCATTTACAAACTCGTCGATCTATGGTTACAAACATTTCTAGAATGGCGCTAACGGTTCTTTCGTTACCTCCTCATGTATCTCGGTCGGTAAAGCAATTGGAATTTAAAGCAAAGCCAAAGCTTTCTGTGCAGAAGCAAAGAGGCTAAGTAAGGAGCAGCATATGCCGAATAAAAGAAATATCAAAAAAACCAGAAAACATTTATTTATGATTTATTTATCAATCAATTATCATCGCACTCATACATTATGCGGATATCGGAATGCAAACTTGTTTGTATATTGTATTATAGGTTATATCGATATCCGAAATATATGTATATGTATATGTATGCAAGTGTGTGTGTGTGTGTGTGTGTGTGTGTGTGTGTGTGTGTGTGTGTGTGTGTGTGTGTGTGTGTGTGTGTGTGTGTGTGTGTGTGTGTGTGTGTGTGTGTGT